ACCTCCTACCGCGCCCTCACATCCGCCCTGCTGAGTGTGCTCCCCCGGGGCTTGCAGGCGGGTCCACATTTCTGCGGTCACCTTGGAGCACCTGAATGGGGCCTACAAAGTGGAGGAGGGGGACGGTGACATCCGTGACCCCTACTTGAAGCAGCACCTGGTGAAAACCTACTTTGTCATCAACCCCAAGGTCAGTGCTGCTACCTAGCCTGGGGTTGGAGTGGGTAGGCAGTGCTGCAGCCCACGCACAGGCTTGTGGGTAGCAAAGCCCGCTTCCCACACTCCCTCTCCCTCGGCATGTGCTCCCATGAGGTTGAGTCTAGCGTAATGGGATGGGGGCGGGGCTGTGGTCTCCCAGCTTGTGCTCCCCACCTTGTGCACATTCTGCAGGAGTGTCTCCCCCAGCCCTGCCTAAGGACCTGGGCCCCTCAGTCCAAGCACAGGCTTCCTCTGGGCCTCAGTCAGGCTCCCTTGAAATGCCCCCTGAGCTGTGGAGCAAGAAGAACTTGTCTGAGGGGGTGGAGTAAGGTCCCTTCGTGAAATGCTGCAGGACAGCCTGTGCGGTGGCCTAAGAGGAACAGGTGCCTGTCCTGATGGGCACCCACTGCCCAGCGTGCCACCCGTTCCTCCCCAGGGCAGTGTCCTTGTTCTACAACTTCCTCTTGATGGGCCCTTGTGAGAAAACCTATTCAGTGACCCCTAAGGGATTCCCAAAATCATCCCTGTAACCTCCTGAGCTGGCCTCACTCCTGGATTGATTGGACAGGAGCTTGGGAAAGCCTCTTCTGGGATGAAGGCGAGACTGTCCCTGAGAGAGCTTGTCTGCAGCCACGCATGACCACAGAGACATGTTTAAACATGTTTTCTGTGGAACAAGCCCAGGCAGGTATCCAGTAGGAGCCCTGGTTGCTTAGGGCTCCGTGTGGGGCTCCAAACCCCAAGATCAGCAATTCAAAACCACCAGTCGCTCTGTGAGACATAGTCAGGGCTTTCTACTCCCCCGAAGAGTTAGTCTCAGAAACTCACAGGGGCAGGCCCACCCTGCCTTACAGGAGGCCTCGGGGTCAGCTTGGACTCCGTGGCAGTGAGTTTGCCTTGCATGTATGAACTGAAACCCTAGTTCAAAAGTCTCCCTGCAATCAGGTCAGTGCAGACTCACAGCGGCCCTGTAGGAGCGGGTCACATGGACCCTGTAGGAGCAGGTCAAATGGCCCTAGGGGATTCTGAGACTGTAACTCTTCATGGGAATAGAAAGCCTCATGTTCGTCCTGCAGAGCGACTGGTGCTTTCAAACTACTGACCTTTTGGTCAGCAGCCTAACACGTAACCCCCTGTCCCCCTGAGCTCCTGAAGGCCTCAGAGCAGGACTTTTTTACTTATCCTCACACTTGACACACGAGTCAAGAGTCTGTGAGAAGGCCCTGGTTTCTGGGCGAGGAAGTAAGGTCCTTTGTAGGTTGAGGGTTTTAAGGAGGATTGGTTCGTTCTTGGCGAGTGTTTCTCTAAGGCAGGGGTCCTCAAACTTTTTAAACAGGGGGCCAGTTCACTGTCCCTCAGACCTGTTGGGGGGCCAGACTATAGTTTTTTAAAAAAACTATGAACAAATTCCTATACACACTGCGCAGCATATCTGCAGGCCGTAGTTTGAGAACGCCTGCTCTAAGGGAAAGGCACGGGGTGGTTCCGTGGGGGGTGGGGGCAGTCTGTAGTCATTCATTTAAATATTCACTAAAGAACCTTCCAGCTGCAGCATTCTCAAGGCCATGAGGGGATCTGTCCTCTCGGGTTCTTGGCGTGGGAAGGCCCTGGGTGCACCCTGGGATTGGCAGTGGGTACCAATCTGCCTATAGGAATAGCTCAGGTGCACCCTGGGGTGGGATGGACCAGGAAGTGGAGTGGACACATTGTGGGGTGTGGGTGAGCCCTGATCTGCCTGCACTGTACAGTGGGTTGGAGGTGGAGTGGGGTGGGGCGTGGCACTTATCTCCAGTGAGCAGGGCTCAGGTACACAGTGTCCCCCTGATGCCAACTCTGCTCCTGGCCCACAGGGAGACCGGCGGAGCCCCCAGCACCTCTTCCGGCCTCGCCACACCCTGGACGGAGCCAAGATGAGGGCGTCCGTGCGTATGACCCGCTACCTGGAGTCCTGGGGGGCAGCCAAGCCTTTTGCTCATCTGCACCACCGGGACAGCATGACCACTGAGAACGGCAGGATCAGCACCACGGTGAGTGCGAGTTTGCAGTGGGTGGGGGGCACGGCAAACCAAAAATCAATCAAAACACAGACTGGAACATAGGTGGTTCGAAGCTCATTCTCCATGCCTGCTGGGAGAGCACCAGTTCAACTCAACCACTGCCCTTCAGTCAGTGCCGACTCACAGCGCCCCTGCAGGACAGGGGTAGAACTGCCGACTCACAGCGCCCCTAGAGAACAGGGGCAGAACTGCTGACCCACAGCACCCCTGCAGGACACTGATAGAACTGCCAACCCACAGTGCCTCTGCAGGACAGGGGTAGAATTGCTGATTCACAGCACCCCTACAGGACAGGGGCAGAACTGCTGACCCACAGCACCCCTACAGGACAGGGGTAGAACTGCCAACCCACAGCACCCCTACAGGACAGGGGCAGAACTGCTGACACACAGTGTCCCTATAGAACAGGGGCAGAACTGCCCCTGTGGTTGCTGAGACTCAGTTGCTGCATTGGAGCAAATGTTGACTCACTTGGCCCTGTGTGCTTCTGAGGCTATAGCTGTTTACAGCAGTAGAAAGCCTCATCTTTCTCCCACGGAGCTGGTAGTGGTTTCTAACTGCCCACCATGTGGATCTCAGCCCATGACATAACCACTGAGGCACCAGGGAGAGCATATTCTTCTAACAAGAAAGGGCTCGAGGAGGCCAGTTGCTGATGCTAAGTGTGTGTGAGTCAGCTCTAACCCATAACGACCCCATGCACAACAGAACAAACACTGCCCGATCCTGTGCCAGGCTCACCATTGTTCCTGCATTCCACGCCCTTGTTGCAGCCACTGTAACAATCCATCTCCTGAGGTTCTTCCTGTTTCTCTGCCCCTTTACTTGACCAAGCATGATGGTCTCTCCTGACAATATGTCCACAGTATGTGAGTTGAAGTTTCAACACCTTTGCTTCAGAAGGAGCATTCTGGCTGTATTTCTTCTAAGACAGATCTGTTTGTCCTTTTGGCAGTCCATGGTACTTTCAATATTCTTCTCCAGCACCACAATTCAGATGTATCAATTTTTCTTCTGTCTTCCTTATTTAATGTCCAACGTTCACATGCATGAAAAAGTCATTAAACACACCATGGCTTGGGTCAGGCTCACCTTAGTCCTCCAAGTAACACCCTTGCTTTCCAACACTTTAAAGAGCTCTTGTGCAGCAGATGTACCTAATGAAACACGTCTTTTGATCGCTTGACTACTGCATCCATAAACATTGATAGTGGATCCAAATAAAATGAAATAATTGACAACTTCAATCTTTTTTCCCTTTGTCACAATTTATCCATTTATCTATTGGTCTGGTTGTGAGGATGTGTGTTTTCTTTACATTGAGTTGCTATCTCCACCGAAAGAGAAAAGGTGATCCTTTTGAATGTTGGTGCTGGTAAAGAATATGGAAAATACTACAGACTGTCGGAAGAACAGACAAATCTGTCCTGGAGGGAGTACAGCCAGGCTGCTCCTTGGAAGGGAGCATGGGGAGACTTCATCTCAAGTACCTTGGATGTTCTCCAGAGAGACTACTCCTTCTTGGAGAAGGACATCATGCTTTGGGGAAAAGAAGACCCTCAAGAGATGGGCTGACACTGTGGCTTCCACGATGGGCCCAAACATAACAGCTGTGAGGCTGGCGCAGGACCGGGCAGTGTGGGCCGCTGTTGTAACTAGGTTCACTGGGACAGAGAAGCCCCCGCAGCCCCAAGCAACCATCAAAAACAGTGGCGATACTGTAGGAGGGGAGATCCCTATCTCATTTCCAAGCGGAAGTCTTCTTGTGCCACCAGATATGGGCCCCTTCCCTACTCTAGGGAGCCCTAGTGGCACAGTGGTTGTTGTGTGTTGGCCTGCTAACCACAAGGTCAGCAGTTTGAAACCACTAGCTGTTCCACAGGAAAAAGAGGAGACTCTCTCCTCCCATGAGGAGCTGCCATCTTGGCAAGCTGCAGAGGCAGGCAGTTCTTCCCTGGCTTGTAGGGTTGCTATGAGTTGGCACAGACTCCAGGGCAGTGGCTGTCCCAGCGCTCCACTGGGAGTGGCATGGAGAGGCAATGAGGGAGCGTTGGGAAGCACTTGATGTGGGTCCCCAGGAGCTGAGTGTCTCCAAGTGAAGTAAATGGGACACAAAGGTCAGATGTGTCCCCACGTTCCATGTGGTCTCACTGTTGTGTAGTTTCCACAGCAGGGCCGGGCACAGAAGCCCTGGTGGATCCGCGGTGCTCAGGTGGCATGGTGCCTGCTGAAGGGGTGGGCAGGCTCAGGGAGACAGGGCAGCAGTGCCGCAGGCCCCAAGAGTGTGGCGCACCCACTGGACAGAGCTGGAACCGTGACCCCAGGGGCCGCCGACTTGACAGCATGTTTGGTGTCACCTCCCCAAGAAAGATGCTTCTCGTGACAGAAAAGGAAATGGGAGGCATCATCGCCTTGTGAAAATTCCTGTGGGATTGTTTCTGGCAACTAATAATAACTCTTCTTTCTGTTTCTAACAGGATGTGCCCATGGGTCAACATAATTTTCAGAATCGCACATTAAGGTAGAGTGCCTCTTCCACAACCTTACTCTGGGGGCTGTTTTCCACTTATTTGTGGATCCATTATCATCAATTATGGTGATTTTGAAGTCTACTTCTTCTACAGGGCAGCACCTGTGAAAAGCCATCGCCTTGCTCTCTGATTCAGAAAGCAGGCTGATCCCAAGGTGTGATTAGGCCTCAGGGAGGGAACGGCACAGCTACCTGGCAATCACTTTCCCATTGGACGTGGGTTCCTCCTAAAATGACCTGTCCAAATATGAACGTGGAGATCTTATCAACGGAATTTCCCCCAGATGAGCGTGTTACTTAAAACCAGATGCCCGGTGCTGCGTTCTGGAGACCAGGCACTCTCAACAAGACAGCTGCCATCGAGTGGACCCCAGGTGTCCAAGCGGAGTCATGCTCACAGGACATTCAGCACTGGCCTGACAGTCAGCAGCCAGGCCTCTCACCCTGGGAGCTGTGGGTGCGCTTGAACCCCAAGCGCTACAGTTGACGGCGGAGGATGTGGATGGGGGCACCACCCAGAGTTCCAGAGGCAGACTCCCAGGGTGTCCACACATAGAAGTTGACTGTGCTGTGGTGTGTGTGTAAATCCCAGGAAATGTCCAGAAGCCCACAGCCGGCTGTGCCCCTGGCTGGCCATCTGACCAGGGGTGTCTGTGGTCTTGGAGGAATAGAGGAGAAACTGACATCCAGCACACATGCATTCTCATAGGAGGAGAACTCCCATGGCTGGATCACTGCTTGTCAAAAATGGCCACAACATCGGGGACCCCAAGCCCACCCCTGCATGGTGGGTGCCGTGCCAAGGTCTGATCTGGCTGCTGCTGGGGCACTGAGTCTTCCTGGGGCCCAGGTCAGGGGTGCTGGCCTTTCCTGCATACTCTCCAAGTGACACACTTCCTATTGGAGAAAAGTTCAGCACCTTGTCACATTAACTGTAAGGGCCTCTTTTTGTGGCCATAGCAGAGCAAGTGGCTCCTACAGCCAATAAGGGGCAAGAATATTGATGAGCAGCTGCCCCTGGGTGCCCCCTGGCATGCTCACACACCCTGCCCAGGAGACGTGATGCCTTTCCTGTTAGCTCTCTTCCTTCCCCAAAACTCTTCCTCCAGGGTCTTGAACTCCAACTCTGTGGGGAGCCCGTGGATGCTGCTGCCATGATCACCGGGAAGGAAAACCGAGGCCCTGGGGGCCTATCAGAATTGCTCCGGGTGGAATTGCTCATTGCTGGCACAATGAGATTCTCAGCTGTCAAACAAACCGTTGGTGGGCTGGGTGCTTCCACCAGCTCGGCAGGAGGGAAGCCTGAGCTGAGCTGTTTCCAAGACAAGCCAATGAGAAGCTGTGAGTCCATCCCAACTGCTGGGAGAATGAACTGCCTACAGGATTCCCAAGGCTGTAGAACTTTACGGAAGCAAACTACCACATCTCTCCCCCTGGGCACAAAGATTGGAGCCAAGAAACCCCAAGGAGGTGGCTTTAGTTTGCCACATGGGGCCACTGCTGGTCAGAAGTGACTCAATGGCTCAGTGACTCAGAAGCCCACCACCCACTCTTCTCCTGCCCAGCCCCACCTTTGTTGGCCCCACACACCTCCTGGCCTCTAAGTCACACCCACCCAGGGTCCCTGGTGGCTCCTCCTGTCCAGGTCCCTCTGCCTGGGCTGTGGACCCGCTCTGAGCCTCCAGCTGGACATTAAGTGTCCTCCTGTGGCTTCTCCTGTGCTCTGGTGGCACCGTGGAGTGGAGTCGGGACAAGCAGTGGGGGCAAGGAGACCCAGCGGGCGGCACAGCGAGGACAGGCCTTGGAGCGCTGAGGGTCAGAGCCACAGTGCCCCAGCGGCTTCAGACTCTGGTGAGTGCTTGGGTCACCCCAGCAGAGATGTCAGATGGACAGGACCAACAAAAAGCCACCGACGTGTCACAGACTGTGCAGAATAATCAGCAGCAGTGCCATCATGTGACGGCACCACGTGTCGGGGTCAAGCCCAGCCATCGGTAAGCTGATCCTCAAGATGGCCGCAGGAAGGGAGGCCGTCGTTGGCCTGAGAGGAAGGAAGAATTGCACTTCCCGCGTACCCCAAGGCTCCCACCCTGCTGCCCCTTGAGATGGCTGCTGTCCACGCCACTCTGAGAACCCTGACCGGCAGTGGAACACGGTGTCAGTTCTCCGTCACCCTCCTGGGCTCCGCACGTTCAAACCCGTCGCACCCTTGTAGGCTCCAAATCAGTACAAACGGGAGCACCCGCATTGGAGTCCAGAAGCTTGAAAACTAGACTCAGAGCTGGTCAGTTAGCACAGGGGCTCTCAGGTTGCCTAGCATGCCTCTCAGTGGACACCAGCTTATCACCTGTGACACCTGTGTGCCTGGCCAGGTGATTTCCCAAACTCAGTCACTGCCATTGCCGTCAATGCTGGCTCACAGCAAGCAGATGGGCCAAGTGGAACTGCCTTTGGGGACTTTGAGATGGAACTGGTCTGCCCTGACTTGGTTGTCAGTTGGTCAGTTGTTCCTGTGATGCTGGAAGCTATGTCACTGGCATTTCAAATACCAGCAGGATCACTCAAACTGAACGGGTTTCAGCAGAGCGTCCAGGCTAGGAACAGACAATGAAGAAGGAAGGCGCTGCTGAAACTTCAGGTGGAGCTTTGAAACATTGTCAGGCACCGAAGGCCCATGGAATGGAAGCAGGGCATTGTCAGTGATCGAACCGACAAGAACGAGATGGTGCCTATGAGCGAGAACCAATGGGGCTGAAGGAGGAAGTTCAAGCTGCACAGAGAATTAGCCCAAAACAAAGACTGCCCATTGAAATGTTTCCACAAGCTGATGCAGCCCTGGAAACACTCACTCAAAATTTGGAAAACCAATACCTGACCAACTGACTCGAAGAGATCCATGTTTGTACCCGTTCTAAAGGCAAGTAACCAAACTGCATGCTCAAAGTATAAAACTCTTCTGAAAATCATTCAGCAAAGGTTGCAGCAGTAATTTGACAGGGAGCTGCCAGAGGTTCAGGCTGGATTCAGAAGGGGTCGTGGAACAAGGGACATTATTGCTGATGTCAGATGGATCTTGGCGTAAAGCAGAGAACATCAGAGAGATGCTTACTGGTGTTTTATTGACTATGCCACGGCACTTGACTGTGTGGACCATAATAAATAATGGATAACCTTGAGAAAATGGGAATTCCAGAACACTTTCTTGTGCTCATGCAGGACCTGTCCAGGGGTCAAGAGGCAGCCGTGTGAACAGAGCAAGGGGCTACGGGAAAGGTGTAGTCGGGGCTGTGTCCTCTCACCACACTTGTGCAATCTGCGTGCTCAGCAAACCAACAGAGGAGCTGGAGGCTATGAGGAAGCGTGTGGCATCAGGATTGGAGGACGTCTGATGGACCACCTGCGATCTGCGGATGACACCCCCTTGCTTGTGGAAAGTGAGGAGGACTTTCGTCATTTGCTGATGAAGATGAAGGATTGCCGCCTTCAGTATGGATCACAACTTAGTGTTATGAAATCCAAAATCCTCACAAATGGACCAATAGGTACCATCGTGATAAATGGAGAAAAGATTGTAATTGTCGAGAATGTTTATGCTTCTATCCACAGTCAGTGCTCCTGGAAGCAGCAGCAGTCAGGAGATGAAAAGGCTCATTGCACTGGGCACACCTGCTGCACAGACCCCTTTAGAGTGTTGAAAAGCAAGCACACAATGTTCCTCTGGTTCCTTGAGGCTTCCTCAACCCCCACCCCCAACGCCCCCAGTATCATGACCCTAGGTCTGCCTTTGAGTTCTGGCTAGACCAGAACATGTACACTGGTACAGATGAGAGCTCATGACACACGGAATCCAGGACAGATAACCCCCACCCCCCACCCCACCCCCGCCCAGCCAAAACAGGAATGGGAGTAGCAATGCCAGGAGGGGAGGGGGGAGGAGGGAGAGGAAAGGAGGAAGGGGAACTGATTGCAATGATGGACACAGGTGTTCCTAGCCCAATCCAGGGTATTCTCCTTTTTTGTGTGTGATCATTGTATTGAGGGCTCTTACAGCGTTTATAACAATCCATACATCAATCGTATCAAGCAGATTTGTACATTTGTTGCCATCATTATTTTATAAACGTTTAGTTTCTATTGAACCCTTGGTATCAGCTCCTCTTTTTTCCCTGCCCCCCATGATTTTTTGATAGATTACAAATTATTATTTTCATATCCTACACAGACTGCTGTCTCCCTTCCCCCCAAGGTTTCTGTTGTTCATTCCCCTGGAGGGGGGTAGTTATGTGTCCATCATTGCAATCAGTTCCCCCTTCCTCCCTTCCTCTCCACCCCCCTTGCCCCCTACCCTCCTGGCATTGCTACTCTCATTCCTGTTTTGGCAGTGGGGGGGGGGTATCTGTCCTGGATTCCGTGTGTCATGAGCTCTCATCTGTACCAGTGTACATGCTCTGGTCTAGCCAGAACTCAAAGGCAGAACTAGGGTCATGATACTGGGGCATTGGGGGTGGGAGGGGGGGTTGAGGAAGCCTCAAGGAACCAGAGGAATATTGTGTGCTTCATCGGTGCTGTACTGCACCTTGGTCAAGCCATGGTATTTTCAGTGGCTGAATATGCATGGGAAAGTTGGCCACCGAATAGGGAAGACCAAAGAAGAACTGATGCCTTTGCACTGTGGTGCTGAGAAGAATGCTGAAAGTGTCTTGGGCTGCCAAAGGAACAAGCAAATCTATGTTAGAAGAAGGAAGGCCAGAGTGCTTAGAAACAAGGGTGACCACAGTTGATCTGACCTTCTTTGGACACGTTGTCCAGAGCGATCAGTCTCCGGAGGAATCATGCTTGGGAAAGTAAGCAGGAAGCAGAACAGAGGAAGGAGCTCGGAGATGGATGGACATGGCGGCCAGTGGCTGCAATACTGACTCAAGCATAGGGATACGTGTGAGGCTGGCCCAGGACTGGCTTGTGTTTTCTCTGTTATGGGTCAGAACCAACTTGGTGACGCAGAAAGCCTCCTCTTTCTCCCTCTGGGCAGCTAGCAGTGTAGAACTGCTGACCTTATGGTAACAGCCCAGCTTGTAACCCACTGCACCCCGGGGGCTCCTAGAGGTGATCTCTAGGCCCTTTCAAGTCTCCTCTTCAAAGCATGCTTTGGCATGCTCCACTTTTCCTTCATTCGGTTTGATATCTGTAGATGCATCAATTACAAATAGCCTTTTTGAGGGTGCTCTGCCCGGGCATGCTTGCAGACACCACCTCGCGAACGTGGGAGCAAGGGATTGGAAACCAGCCCTCCAACACTAATTCTGTGAGAGTTAGCCACAAAAAAGGCAACCTTGTATGTGCAGTGCAATCAGTATCTCTCTCCACAAGTAATTATGAACTCAGAAAAGTGTTGCCATTGTTACAGTTTAGACGGTTTATTCAGTAACATAAGCATTGAGAATAAATGCTTACTCCATCATTGACTGGAAACGCTTGTCAGCACCAGGCTCAGGTGGCAAAGTTCAGGGGAGGTATGAGCTTTATTCTTTGTCACTGATATTTAACTTTTAAAAAGAAGTCTGTTTTCAACTTTCTCTTGGGCATCGTACTGATGTTGTTAGGGACTGTCGATATGGTTGTGACCCATTGACACCCGATGTACAACAGAAGGAAACGTGGCCCAGTCCTGCCAGCCTCACAACTGTTGTGAGGCGTGAGCCCATTTTTGCAGCCACTGTATCAATCCATCTTGTTGAAAGTCTTCCTCTTTTTTCACTGCCCCTCGGCTTTACCAAGCACGATGTCCTTCTCCAGGGTCTGGTCTCTCCTGATAGCATGGCCAAAGCACATTAGACAGTCTCACAATCTTTGCCTCTAAGGGGCTTTCCATCAGTACTTCGTCCAAGACACGTTTGATTGTGCTTCTGGCAGTCCATCGTACTTCCGCAGTCCGGGCCAGCCCCGCACTTCAGACTCCTTGGTGCTTCTCCAATCTTCGTGATGGGAGGTCCAGCTTTCACATGCAAATGAGGTGACTGAAAACACCACGGCTTGGGCAGGTGCACCTTTGTCCTCAAAGTCACATCCTTGCTTTTCCATACTTTAAAGAAGATTCGTGCAGCAGATGTCCCTAAAGCAGTGTGTCGTTTGATCTCTTGACTACTGCTTCCATAAGCATTGTGGGCCCAAGTGAACAAAATCCTTGACAACTTCAATCTTTTCCACATTGATCATGACATGCCTGTTGGTCCAGTTGTGAGTATTTGGGTCTTCTTTACGTTGTGCTGTAAAAGGTACGGAAGGCCGCAATCCTTAATCTTCATGATTTTCATGCTAACTGTCAAATACCATGAGGATCTCTACTTATAATTTGCATATAACCTGACAGCAATGGATCATTTAATTAGTTAGTGACCTGCCAAGTATCATATATTTTGGCTGAGATTATTTGCTTCTGATTCAAGTGAGTGGTCAACAGAGACGAATGGGGTGTTCCGTGACAGTGCTCTTGAAAAGTGGGAAGTTTTTAAGTGTATACGTACAATTTACTCTTGGTGTGGCCAAAATGAGATGGGGTGGGGGTGGTTTAATGCTGTCAGGTGGATTCAGACTCACAGTGACCCCACACATTAGAGTAGAGCTTCCCCACAGCATCTGGTAGACTGGAATCTTCATGGCGGCAGGTTGCAGGCACTTTCTCCCAAGGATCCACTGGGTGGGTTCAAACAGCCAGCCTTTCAGTCAACAGCCCAGCGCTTGACTACTGGGCCACCAGGCTCCTCTGAAACACAAAACCAGAACACACCCAAGAAGTGACTCGTTTCTAACCAAACCAAACGTCGGAGAGACTCCCAGTCCGTGTGGCCCATTATGAAATGAAGTCCTGTCGGTCAGGATTTGGTGTCTCGCTCTTCTCAGACCCTGGGTTGGTCTGAGGCCCTGACACTGAGCATGTCAGCCCCCTGGTGCTGCTCCCCGTGGTGGGTGGTGCCACTCTGAGTGGGAGGGGAGGGTCCCTTTGGTAAGCCCAAACCTCCTATCAGTCACTGTAGTGAGCACATGTCATCAGACATGCTTCTCATCGTTTTTCTTTATTAAAGGAGTAAACAGAGATTTGTGGCACCATGGAGATATAGCCTTAATGTTTACCTGGGTTTTAATTTTTCTTAACAATCATATTTCATTTTCTTAATAGAACTAAATCACAAAAGAAGCGATTTGAAGAAGAATTGAATGAAAGGATGATTCAAGCCATTGATGGAATTAATGCTCAAAAGTGAGTTCTCTTTCATCTTCTGTTACCCTTCATCTTTTATTTCAACAGACCTATTTGAAAATATTGTATTTTCTAAAAGCATTTCCTTGCAAGCACTGTAACCCAAATCATGCCGAAGACAAGTTGCCTGATATCATTTTTTCATTTCACCACCAGTGTCCTTAATAATCGTTTCTGTTAATAGGATTTCATTTTTCTAAAAAATTTCAGTTCTAGAAAATGCATTCCCAAGTGAGTCTGCCAAGCAAGCGGCATGTAAGTGCAGAAAGAAAAATGATGGATTGTGGGATTTTACAAGCCCAGTCGGAATTCTGTAGAAAGAAAATCTTTCAAAGGTTTTCCTGAGACAGTATCTGGGATGGTTAAGGTTTTATGTCAACTTGGTTGGGCCAGGGTTCTCCGTGGTTTGGCGGTTAAAACCGAGTCATCCCCCATTATGAGGTCTCAAGGGTGTGGCCTGCTTCCAATAAAAGCAAAAGCTTGCTTGATTTTTGCTGTACCTGGATCCTGCATCTGGCTCATCGAACTCCAGTTCTTTGTACTTGAGCCAACAGCATTTGCTGATGAAGATCAAGGATTGCAGCCTTCAGTATGATGACAAGTTGATGTAAAGAAAGACAAAGTCCTCACACTGGGCCAATAGGCAGCTCCATGATCAATGGAGGGAAGGTGGGGTTGTCGAGGGTCTGTCTTCCTTGGACCCACAGTCAGTGCTCATGGAGGCAGCAGTCGAGAGCCCAAGACGAGTCCATTGGGTAAGTCTGCAGCACAAGACTCCCTTAAAATGTGCAAAGCAAGGATATTACTTGAGGAGTACGGTGTACCTGACCTAAGCCATGCTATTTTCAATTGCCACAAGGTCAACAGTTTGAAAACACCAGCCAGCTCCTCAGGAGAAAGATGGGGCTTTCTACTCCGTAAAAGTTTACAGTCTTGGAAACCCATGGGGTCGTTCTACACTGCCCTATAGGGTCACTATGAGTCACCATTGACTGTATGTTTATATACATGGGGAAGTTGGACATTTAACAAACAAAACCAAAAAAAGAATGGGTGCCTTTGAATTATGGCACTTATGAAGAATATTGAAAGTACCATGGACTACCAATAGAACAAACCAATCTGTCTTGGAAGAAGTACAGCCAGAATGTTTCTTAGGGGCGAGGATGGTGAGACTTTGTCTTACATACTTCGGACGTGTTGTCAGGAGAGACCAGGCCCCGGAGAAGGACATCGTGCTGGTAAAGTAGACGGGCAGCAAAAAGGAGGAAGGCCCTTAAGGGGATGGATTGGTACAGTGGCTGCAACCACGGGCTCGAATTTAAGAACAATTATTGGGGATTGTGCAGGACTGGGCAGTTCTGCAGCTAGGAGTCAGACAGACTTGATGGCACCTAACAGCAACAACTATGAATATGACAGTTGAAAGGGAAGAAAACTTGAAGCACGCCTTGATGGAATCAAAGACTACATACAGCCTTCAGTATGGATTACACCTTGACATAAAGAAAGCAAAAATCTTCGCTGGACCAATAAGTGACAAATGGAGAAAAGATTGACATTTTCACAGACTTCATTCTACTTGGCTCTACAATCAACACCCGAGATCAAACAACATGTTACTTTGGGCAAATCAGCTGAACAAAACCTCTTTAATGCGTTAAAAAGCAAAGATACCACTTTGAGGACTGTGGTGTGCCTGATTCAAGCCATGGCATTTTCAGCCCCTACAATGCATATGAAAGCTGAACGTCGATTGAGGTGTTGATGAAGATTATTCACGATACCATGGATGACCTAGCAGAACTAACAACTCTATTTTGGAAGAAGTACAGGCAGAATGCTCCTTAGAAGAGAGGCTAGCAAAATTTCATCTCACGTGTGTTGAATCTATTATCAGGAGAGACTACTATTTGGAAAAGGCACAATACTTGGTGAAGCAGAGAGTCATGGAGAAAGGAAAAAGGAAGAAAGACCTTGAACGAGACGGGTTGACACTATGGCTGCATGTGGGCTCAAGCAGAGGCACTCTGAGTTGGAACCTACCTGTCGGCACTTAACAACTGTCGTGTATGCTCCTCCTTTCTAGGGAGCTGTGTTTGCAAGGTGGACTAGAGAAACAAAACCAGTGACACGTGTATGTGTGCAAGAGATAGCTTTATATCAAGAAGTAAGTATATGTCAAGAAAGGATGCTGACCCAGTCCAGCTCAAGTCCCTAAGTCTGATGCTCATCTCCCAGTCCCTCTTCAGACTCAAGCAGTCACGTGCAACGATGCAGGAAGCAGGAAGATCACAGGCCGGTAGGTGCAGAGTTGTGTGGATCCAAGGCGGGTAGAAACATGGCTGGGTTCCAACAGCTCTCAGGGTCAGTGGCAGAGAGGTGAAGGAGGAGAAAATGGAAGGGGACCCTTCTCTCTCCCAGGGGTGTTAGACAGGGTTCTCTGGAGAAACAAAACCAGGACACTT